TCCCTACAGGCAAGGGGGGGTCTGAGTCACCCTCCACCCTGAGTGAAGAGGCGGCAACTTGAGCAGACCAGCGGGGAAGGAGGCACGCTGCTCCTCACTCGTTCCACCAGCCCCTTGCGACCCATTCTGGGACAGTTCAGCTTCACGGCGGTGTCAAGTCCCAAGCTGGCTTGAGGATCAGGCCCTGCAGAGACTAGACAACAAGCTAGAGGATGGAAACCTTATCCTGCAGTTCGAACCTTTTCTAGCTAATTTTGAAATTGTTAATGCACTTATTTCCAGATCCAGAAAGAACAAAGCAAAATTTGTGGCCTAGATTAGTCCAATGGGGGACCTAAGAAGTGCTGAGTTGAAAGAATTGGCTTTTGGAAAGGGATTTGTTATGGTCTTGTTACATTGGGGAAAAATATCTTTTATGTGGAAACCTCAGCTTTCTTCTAAGGCAGTCTCAGAGGAGGGAACGGGGCTACACAGTGTTTATTTACAATGCTTCAGTGTACATGTTTGCCCGTGTTTCTCAGAGATACTTCATGGTGAGCAGCTGGTAAAACGTTGAGCTACTGGGCTAGGCGCTGGAGGGTGGGAACACTTCTAGCCTCATGAGCAGAAAGAGTCCTGGTTAGAGACTAAAGGGAAACTGTGTAGTGCAGAAAAGTACATTTCCTGGCTCACTGCAAATTCTATAGTCATGAGAGTTAAACTTTATTGCTGTGGGCTGTATTGTCTCCCCTTAACTACCGGAGGAGGTGCTGAAGCTGAAAACTTCCGAACTTGGCCTAGACAGCTCATCCCTGTTCATTTTACAGGTGTCACCTCTGGAATAATTTATCCCTTTCTCTCTCCCTTTAGTATTTTTTGAACCTTTGGTTTGCCAGCCTCGTAAAGTTACATGAAAAAGGCTGGTCTCCTCACACACAGAGGAGTGCAGAGGCCCAACGGCGGGGAGGAAAACTGAAACAACACCTTGCCCCAGCCCCCGCCAGGGCCATCACAGGGCAGCCGTCTGCCCCAGGGCTGGAGGATGGCCACTACGAGGACTGCGCGGAAAGGCTCCCCAGAGCACCTCTCGGACTGGGAGATCACTGCCCAGGGGGTAAGGGACTCCTTCTGGGACGCTGGGAAGAGCACCTTGCGATGGCACAAGACTTATTATGGGATGCTTAGGGCAGGAACCAAAGGCAGGGAAAGGGAGCGTGGGATCAAGGTGGTTTTGGGAAGAAGAACAAGTACGGGCAAACAGAGGAGGAGGGAGATGAAAGGGGCCAGCAGTGTGCAAACAGGCTGCTGGGCAATACGTTTGCCCGGCCATGCCCTGTGCTGGATCCGTGCAGTGTGTCCTCTCTTCTTACGAAACTCCACCTCTAACGATTTTCCTGGGTCAGGGGACGTCTATGCTGTGTGCACGTGTGTGTAGAGGCTGTAGTCAGCGGGTCCATGGGTCTCAGGACCTGTGTGTCTGTGGTGCCAGCACCCAGAGCGAGTGAGGGTGGCATGTCAGTGTACAACCGCTAGCGAATGTGCAGCCAGACTAGCCAGTGTGAAGGGTAAGAGGTTTGGGAGCCACGTGTGTGTGTCTGCGTGTGGGATGACCAAAGGACCTGGCTACTGGAGGGACCAGGCAGTCCAGACCCATGGCTGAAGAGACCGTGGGGTCTGGGGGGCAACTGGGAGACCCGTTTGTGTGTATGTGTGTGCTTGTGTGTGTGTGTGTGTGCGTGTGTGTGTGTGTGTGTGTGTGTGTGTGTGTGTGTGTGTGTGTGTGTGCTGGTGTGTGTGTGTGTGTGTGCGCGTGCTGGTGTGCACACGGGAGGTCTGTCCCAGCAGCTGCAGTGGGGCTGCAGCCTTGGGAGCTTGTGTGCCTCCACGAGCTGCTGGGTGGCCTGAGTGTCTTAGCCTAGCTCCTGGGGGATCCCGGTGCCTATGTGTGTCTGTCTGTACACTGCACATAGGTATGCTTTTCCCACTAATGCCCCTTCCTCTTGATCAGCAGGACAGGATGAGGCGGTGGGCACTGTTGGCATTTGTTTGAATGCAGAGCGTGTCCATGTGTGCTGCTGGTCTCTGTGGCCAGCCAGTTCATTCATGCTGCATACCTGCGCTTGTGCGTGTGCCCATAGCGGGTACATGCGCAACCCCACTGCCAGTTGGGGCTGGACATGGAGCCGGGGCTGCCTCGCCTCCACGGGGCTGCTGGATCCGGCAGCCCCTGAGGACCCTCACTGACCTGGCCGGCGGGGACCTGCAAGGTGCCAGCACTGCTCACTCCCCAACGAAGGGCCGAAATGGCTGCGTCTAAACTGTGCAGCAGGCAGGCAGGCTCCAAAACCCTGCACCCTTGCTCACCTGGAGCACTGGGCACAGAGGAAGTAACCCTGCCATTGCCCAAAAGTTTTCCATGCCCAAATCCTTCAGCAGTTTCCCTAACTGTTTCTCTAGTGGCTGATGCATGTTCTTGCAATGCATGTGAGCAGAACATACATCTGCAATGACCTTTTCCCCTCACACCTCTGAAGTTCAAGAACTGCTGATTGTATCAGTAAAAATAACCTATTTTTGGGCATGAGTGAATTTTTATAAAGGGAAAAATGGTCTGCAAAGATGGCTCATGACGGAGGTCCTGGTGCCTCCTTGTTGCTCATTTCAAAAGCCTTTTTCATATATACCTACAACAAAGTGCGCAAATGCCAGTACACTGTCTCTGAGGAGAAATGAAATGCAGGCAACAAAATCAAATACAATTTTTCTTCAGAATCAGAAAATGATATGATGGGTGCAGCACTGTGGAACCATTGTAACAAGCTATAAACTTAAACAAAAGGTGATATGGGGGAAAAAAGCAAAGGTGACTTTGTTCAGGTCATGCAGTGAATGAAAAATACATACCAATAAGCTTGCTCTTACTAGGTTTGATCAAATTTTAGATTTCTAGATGAATTGCTATAAATACATTGCTACCAGGCCCGGAAGCTGATCCCAAACAGTGACCGGGTGTAAAAAAAGTGGAATCTGGCTGAGGGACCACACAGGCTGAATTTGCAAATGGAGACTGTAACTCCCCTTCCCTCACTTGCCCTCTTACCCCCATTTTATTTTATTTATTGTACTTATTTAGATAGGCCTCTTTCCCAAAGAAGCAGAAAACTGATAGCTTGCAGAAAAATCAATCTTGTGCTCTTTCTTTGAACATCTATTCTTACACAGTCTTTTACACATGCAGTTTAGTGACTTTGCTTGGTCCAGCCCTGTAAGTAGGACTACACATGTACATAAGATTTTGCACAGCCAGGCCCTTGCCAAGTAAATAGCACCTTTTCTAACGAAGCTGTGGTGCATACTCTCATGAGCCGTATTTGATAGTCAGCTTTCCCTAAGCCGGGCTGCTCTGGTATGCGCCTGTGTAGCGAATCCAGGAGCTACACAAAACACGGTTTTCAAAGTAGCATGTGACTTGCCGCAGCACTAACTCTTAGTGTCCCCCAGAGTTCATTTTCTGAACCGTCCCCCAGTTTTATTAATCGCTGCGTTTTGCACACTGCAAAACTCCATATCCCTGTATGAAGAGCAGCTTGCACTGCTCCGGTCTGTGCCCAGTGACACAAAGAAGATGAGTTTAAAAAACACATCCGCAAACCCTCCCAAATCCAAGCTAATTCTTGCCCTCCTTGATTGCCTGGCACAGCTAAGTTCACTGAGTGCTGCAGAGACCAGTTTTGTCAGCTGGCTGGAGGTGGGTGTCAGGTTGGGGCTCCCTCCTTCCCCCGTGTGGAGAGTGGTGGCCCAGTGCAACAGCCGCTCCGACCAAAACGCTGGAGGGTGCCGGGACTGCTTACGGCCAAACCCTCAGCTGGGTGCCAGGCAGGGGGCCGATGGGTGAGGAGGAGACATCAGACACAGAGCTTTGGGCGAACGCAGTTCTCGTGGGCCGCACGCTGCGCCTCTGCCCCCCGCGTTTGGGACGATTCCTTTTTTTTGGCCCTATTCAGAACAAATACAGTGGATTCAGCCGCTTTGCGGAGAGGAGCTTTGGCTGAGAGCAGGTCGCTGTCACCAGAGCAATTCATTAAAATTAATTAAATGAATACAGAGCAATTAGTGTAGCTTACCTTCTTGAGGCCCGCTGTTGCGTGGCCAGTCCAGGAGTGGGATGTCCCCACCTTCCCCTGGGAAAACGGTGCCAGGGAGCGCGTTGCTTCTGTCAGCGCTCACCCGAGAGATGCTCCCGTGAGAGGAGGTCTAGGGCAGGAGGACTGCTTAGAGCAGGCGTCTGCTTAGGTGAAACTGGTTTGGTAGGCTATGTAAAAGCCATAAAGCATCCCGTCCCCAAACAGCATGAATGTATCGCACTGCTTCTGGCAGTAACTGGGTTGCTAAATATTACCAGCCATTCTCCGTCGTTAATGCGGCCGGCCGTCACTGCGAGTACCTGGGTGATTTAGGGTAGTCACGCTTTGCTCCTCCAAAGTGCTCTGTTACTGAAGATGGAAACCAAACCCAGCACTTTGCAAAACACAAAGTCTCCCAGCAGCCCTGTGAGGCAGGCAAGCGCTGTGCAGAGGTAGGAAGGGGCTGATGGCTTGCTCAATGCGAGGACTGGCTGTGTCACATCCTCCAGGCTGGCAGGGACAGCTGCCGAGAGAGACTTGCCCTGTGACAAAATGGACCTCAGCGACCGCAAGTGTGCGGCACCGGTTCACCGTGCAGCTGCGCTTCCTACGCTTGCTTGCAGGCAAGCCATTAATATTTCCACTTGTTTGCTTTGAAGTGTTTCTCTGATTTTTCTCATAGGGAAGGAAAATGAAGAAGATTTTTAAAAAAAAGGAAGGGAGGGAAATGAAAGAACAGGGGATAAAATCCACACTCGGGGAACTCCAGAATGGATACCTATTATCTGCCTTATTTATACTGAGGGTATTCTCAGTATAAGGTATGCTCTGGGCTCTTCACTCCAGAGCAAAGAGGACCTCAACAGGGCTTTTTTACAGCCCTGCTGCTATCCATACAGCCTCCCCTGAGTCTGGAGATGCTTTCAACCCTATCAACAGATGGGGGGGACAGGGGACCTTGGAGCCTGGCGACTGCTTTCCTTGGGGCTAGCACCCTGCCCTATTTGCAGAGGAAGCATTGCTTGGGCATAGTCTCTTCTCTAACATCCGTGGCCTTGCATTGCCTCGTGCCTGAAAGGAGAGGCTATTTTCCCCATGGGGCAGTGGGAGAAGCCTCCCCGCCTGGTTCGGCTCGCAAAGATCTCGGGGCTTGCCCAGGGCAGCAGCGCCAGTGCAACCCACCAGCTCGCCTGCAGCGGGCAAGGGCTGCACCCCTGGGCTCAGCTCGGCAGTGAAGACGTCCCTTGAAAACGCAAGCAGCTAAACGGTATGAGAGATGGGAGGCAGCCAAACAAAATCATGAAATTCTACATCCAGGCTGAGGCTTTGCTATTTTAAACGTTTGCCAAGGGCACTTGGGAAGAGGGAACAAAGAGAGATGCTGGAGCTGGCTCTCAGTGCAAGATGCTGATCTAAGCATTTGAAGTTTCTATCTTCACTGCAGTTTTTATTTTTCCTAACATGACCATATCATATATACAAGAATACATACTGTATTTTAAGCAAATAAATCTGTGGGGAGAATAAAAAAGAGCATTTACTTAACAAATCGCGTCTATTTCTCAAGTAAATCGCTGATCTAAATGCAAGGGATCATATATATTTAAATTTAAAAGTCGTTTTTCTATATAGAATTAATACAGAATTCTAATGTAGAGGGTGTGGCTCCTCCTCATACTTGCAATCTGCTTCTTCACTTACAGGGATACATCAGGGCTGGCAATGACTGAGCTGTAACAGAGACAAAGGAAATTTTAGAGGACAAATGAAGGATGTTCTTGAAAACTGGGCATGGTAATTGGTACTCTGCTCTGTATTGATCTCATTCTCCTGCTTCGGAATTTGACTTACATTCTGCAACCCTCACATGGGCAGATTGCCATTAAAGAGTTTGGTCCGCATTCACCTAGCAGTATCAGACCCTCTGTGGTTCTGATGTCCAACGTGAAATGCCTTGTCTTTTCCTTTTTTCCCTAGATGTCAGTCTAGCAGTTTCTGTCTTTTCATACCATGAACTAAAATCACAGGAATTTGCCTATCCAACCGGCGTATTAAAAACTGTCCAGTGTTCCCTGAAAAAGCATATGGCTTGCAAAGCATTGCTTAGTCTTTTGGCACTTTTATGTTTCATTCTACAAAATTGCTGATAATGTTATAGCTCAAGTTCCTCCACAATAATTGCGATGATATTTTTCAGTCTTTTCCTGCCAACCAAGCTGCTGGCTTTTGATCAGAAATCACATGTGTTTGAGAAAGAAGTGGATCGCTGTCAGCTGGCTCTAGTAGCTCGGTAAGCCTCTAAGGTCTATTTTGCCATGGATGTCAGGGTGAGGGTACAACATGAGGCTTCTGCAGCTGGGGAGACGAAAGGGAGTGCATACATGAAGTCATATGGCGTATGTGAAAGGCCTTTAAACCCCTAACTACTAAACCTAGGGGCACCTAGGGGTGTTTATAAAACACTGGACAGGAATCTAATGGAAATTGTTTCTATCCCTGGATTCACTGCTGACCTTGCACTGCCCACCTTCCCGTGCCTCACTTTCCCTCTATGTGAACTGGAGACAGAGGTGCCAGACTCCTTACAAGGAGCTTTGGACCTGCTGATGAAAAGCAGCAGGCATTGGCCAGAATGAAATAGCCTATTTGTCATTAGGTGCCTTCTCCTACAGTCAGCCTTACGGGCATATTAAAAAAAATATTCCCACAGAGTGGCAAAGCACCAGCAAATATAATAAACAGATGAAAAACCAGTTTGAGGTAAGTAAGGATCAGCACAGCTCCTACTAGCTCGGCTGAAAAGAGGCTCTGCATCCTGCCTGTTGGAGAGCAGCCTATATACCAGAGGAACTGCAAGTAGGGGACCATGCTGAGGGGGTGTTCAGGGCTGTCCCACAGGGATGGCTGAGCCTTTCTGCAGGAGGAGGAAGACTCACACTGAGGGTTGTCCTGTTTATCCCTACAAGATTTTGGGCAGAAAGATGTCCGTGTGTGCTATGTAACACCTCCTCGGTGCCCCCCAGGTTTCTGGAAAGCTGTGAATTTCTTGTGCACAGATGGTGCTCGTATGCTAAGCATAGGCAGGGCCGCCAGGAAGCATCGGACCTGCTATCGCGCGACCACACAGCAACAGTGCGGCCCACACACAGGAAGTGTGGCACGTACCCACCACCTGGCGTGTGGCCGAGCTCTCGGCGCTCAGCAGAGGAGTCCAACATCTCCAGATACAGCTCACTTGCAGCAATGGCGCAGGAACGCCACTCAGTCTGCCGGGCGACCCAGTAAGATGATCCTGGAAAAGCAAAAGCTTCCCCAAATGCTGATTTGGCACAGTGCCTATGCAAAAAAACCCTCCTGACCAGCCCAGCCTCCTGACCTGCACCTCGGCCGCAGCTGCTGCCCTCCTGCGCTTGGCTGGTGCCTTCTCAGTTCACTTCTCTCCAGGTGAGGATTTGCCTTGCAGATGGTTGCAGCCCAGCCACCTCTGCCAAGCCCCTGGCCCCTTTTCACCTCTCTGGAGCCCCTGCTGGTGCAAAGAGCTGGATTTTAGTTTTGGATGGACAAGGATGAGAGTGGGCACTAAGTGCGAGGTTCCCTTCTGCCGCTCACAGCATGCAGGTGATGAGAGGAACCTCTGCAGGGAAGGCCACTTTGCAGACCAAGGGATGAAAAATCCTCCAGGGACGAGAAGTGACCAAACCTAGAGAAATTCTCTGCAGCGTGACTCACTGGCAGCAAACACGAACCACTTTTCCTTCCTAGGGGAACTGCAAGGAGTGCAGCTTTGTTTGGAGGGGAGATTTGACAGGACTTCTGTGATGAATAGTGTGAAAAGTTTCCAGTGAGCAATTAAAAAGCAAAAAAGCATTTTTCCATGACATTTCGGGTAACTGGAAGAGCTACTTGTGAAATGCTGAAGCAACAGTGAATTCCTGAAGAGAGAAAAGATGTCCCAAACACTTTTGTTTCTCCCAAAAATTTTTCGGAGCTTTGCTTCCCGCACAGCAAAAATTGAGCAAATGCCACACCAGTTCTCCAAGTAGCTGGATAGTTTGGTGCTTGTTTTTCTGTTTTATGCTACCTCTTTGACAGATTTCTTGTAAACAGTTTGAACAGTATGAAGTTTTGTTTGTGAGTTTTGTTCAAACTCCCTACTTTTTCCTGTCTTACTTGACATATCTTCTGAATGTCTTCACCGTCCTTTTCTATAGTAGCAAATCCTGCTTCTCTCGTCTCTCTCTCCTTCTCTTGGGTCTTCTGTAAAGAGCACAGAAAAATTTCCTGCACATATCGATCAGATCACGTATTCATTCTACCTAGTTAAACTCTGTTTTGTCTCTGACAACCCAGCAGGCTTGGGTGATTAAAAAGCAATGACTGCCCATACTATATTATCTCTGCTCAGTGACTTCTCCCCCTACCAAAGAGTTTTTTTTTAATAACAGCATTTTGGGCATGTCAGAGCTCTCCCAGTGTTGAAGATGAACTGAATGTAAAACTGAATGTAAATTATCCATTTGAGGCAGGCTTTCAGTTGCTGCAGCACTGAACAGTTACAGGCACAGAAGCTGGCAAGATCACAGTTTTGCTGTGCAAACTACTTTTTGCTTAATGAAGCATTATTTGCACATTCTTGGACTGGTTTGAAGAAACATATAGTCTTAAGAGCACAGACTCAGCTGAAGGGGATTAGGGGAAGACAGACGCAAGATCTCCAAGGAAATGTTCAATGTCTTATGATATGAGAGGAAATGAGGCTATCTTATATTTTTAGAACTATTTAAAACACAGTTTACTCCTCCTTCTGAGGTCTATAAGCATTCAGGCAGTTTCTGTATTTAATCAAGTAAGCAAGCACAGCACAGAGTCTGAAAACATTCTCCTGGGGCAGCAGGGTTCAATCTTCATGTGATAACAGACCGGAAATTAAGCATCTTGCTTTACCTCCTCCAAATCCTCAACTGTGTATCTCACTTTATCCTATGCTGAGCTTTAATATAGAAGCATCAAGTGCTGAATGCAACCTAACTGGCACCTCCAGAGGGTCTCCTTGACCTCAGTAGGGATGTCTCAGTATGCTATACTGTCCGTCCAGCACTAATACTTGATTCCCTCCAGCAGAAGGAAGTAGCCAATAGCCCAAACTAGGTGGAGAGGAAGGTCCCATATTATGAATCATATGCTTATCCTGATGTTAACAGGGTGGTTCTGATGAATGCATTACAGAAAGAAAAAAAAAGGGAATGAAAAGAAAGAAAGAGAAGCCTCTCTCCTGCAAAAGATCAACACAAGCCATCTGTGTAACAAATATAAATCAAGAGGAGTAAACATGTAGTCAGTCAGGAGTGATAAGGATGCCTTTGCAGCTTCTTAATGTATCAGTGAAGGCTTCATTGGGCTTTTAAGACTTTAAAACTGTACTTTTTCCACCTGACACAAGGATGCAAAATTAATGCAGATACAGTAATCATACTTCAATGGATAGGTTTTGGGCTGGAGCTCAGAAGATCTGGTTTCTGTTTTGGGATCTGCTGACATGGGAAAATACTCTGTGCTAGATTTAGGAGAGGAACAACTGCCTAAGTTTAATATTTTTGGCAATCACAAAATCCACTTTTAGCTTTCTGTGCTACTAAACTTCCTCTGCAGTTGAATTTCCAGTGGTTGAGTCCCCAAGGTCAGTGTTTTTTAACCTCTGTTCTGGGAACTACTACTGGTCTATAAGACATTAGAAGGTGATCTGTGGAAGCAGTACAGTTCAAGAACAAAATGAAATTGTTACACATGAAGGCAAGAACAGACAGAATGGGGAAAATACAAGTGATAAACATCCCTAATTGTCTCTGGCTGCGGATAAAAATCATTGTGGTTAATCTACACAGAATAGGTTTTGGACTTCTTTTTCCCAGAAAGAAATGAGGTGTTCTGGATTTGAGAATCAATATGCTTAATTCCTGGCTTTTTGCTGCTTGCCATGCACCCAAACGTATAAGTCTGACAAGGCTGAGCTGCTTATCTTGTGTCTAAATCCCATCACGGTGCACAAAGTGGTGCATCCCAGCCTGTTCTGCATGTGGAGACTTCATCAGGTCTAAGTTTTTCTCAGCCTGTGCAAAGCAAGTTTGGAGGGGATTGGTATTTTCCCTCCTATCCACAAACTCTGTAGTTAGGGCATTAGTCCAAGTTGTAGAAGAATCAAATTCAAACCCCTCATCTGTCCTGAGGGAGTGTGAAATCTCATCTCCCACCTTTCAGGAGGTTTTTCTTGTATTTGGGCTCCTGGCTCCCAGCAGCAATCAGCCCCCTCCCTGCCTGTGAAGCCCTCCCACCTGGTATGGAGTATTTGCATCTTTCTAAGCTAACTATGATCATGCAGCCCACAAAATAGGGCATTTGCTTGCAAGGAAGAGGAAAGACCTGAGTTCCAGTATTTGAGTACCATGTTTGCTAACAACATTTTAAAGAAAGGCAGAGCACTGAACGGGAGACTCAATAAGTAAACTCCTGGAACGACTGTTGGAGTGATGAACAAGCTTTTTTTCCTGTGGAGACTTTACTGTAAGTGAAGAAAGCGTATTTCCTTCATTTCAGTTTGTTCAGTTTAGCTCAGTCAGTGACTTGTTCATTCCAAATGAGGAACTAATTAGAAGTTAAAAAAGATGGAAATTTCTTTTTCCTATCCCAGGCTATGAATAAACATGACATCAGGGGATGAGATCTACTCGTTCTAGACTGTCTAACTGGTTAACACTGGTTTACACTGGTTAACAGCTTATTTCATGAACTACAATTGTCCTTTTTTAATTACTCAGTTAACTTTAAATACAAAACATCTTTTGACACATTCTTCTTCTGTCGCATCCAAAACATTTAAGGCAATTTTATTTAATAATGAAAACCAGTGCAGCCTTTTTGTATGTTATTATAGCCTAATTTCTATCTAAAAGCAGCTTAATGTAACTCCTAAGAACAAAAAATTGAATTACCTAATACATATGAAATATCATTTGCCATTTTCTAATGTAATAAAAGGTAAACTTTAAGCACCAGATAAAAATTTAAGTATTTGAGGGTATACGTAGCATATCCTAAGTTAGCAAAACAAGAAAGTACAAAATGTAGCAAAAGGCTAACTTCAAGTGTAACAGAACAAAACTCAGTGGTTACCAACAACTGGGAACTGACTGCTCTTTGTGAAGATCAGTAAGTGCAAATGCAAAAGAGGAATCAAAACAGATAAATCTAATCAAGGTTGTTTGCTTTCTCCTTTAAGTGACAATTAAAGTAGATTGTTTTAAACCCACGGGTACAAATCACTCCACCATGCTCATTTTGCACAACAGAAGGTGGCAAGTTCACATGTTTATGTGGTCATGAAGGAGGCAATGTCACTCTCATTCACTCCCAGCCCTCCCTCGCAACTGTACTTTTACTTACGTTTCTCTCTCCCACGTTTCTGCCACGCTAGGCACTTCTCCATTCTCCTTGGCCTTTCCCCTCTGCAAACACCCATCAAGGGTAGCCTTGTTTTGTCCCATTTATGTTCCCCACAGATCTCATGTCCCAGAGATGCATCCCTGAAACCATCACATGCATTGGATCAGAAAAGCTCCAAAGAGCCCTAGATTTCAATGGAGCAGCACCCCAACACCTACTAAGTTTCTAGGGAGTGGGGGGAACTGGGACCTACCGCAATCTGAAGGGAGAAAAATGGACTAGAGCTAGAGGCTGGCATCCTGGCTGGTCGGGAGATGAAAAGGGAAACGTTGGTTCCGCCTGGGGAAATGACGAGTTATTTACAATGGTGTTCGTTATCTTGGACTCCTTCCCTCCTTTCTTTCTCACTTGCAGAATTGCTCCGCTGTCACACGTCCTGGCCATGCCCGGTGCTAAGCAAACCCAGCCTAAAGGCAGCGTGACTCCCCTGGATGCAGAAGAGAGAGTTTCAGACTCTCAGTGCCCACCTCCCTGCAGCTGGATCTGCTTTCGAGAAGAAGAATTCAGGCTTTGAGGCATTTCCAAGGGCAGCCCGTGTCCTTCTGCTGCGATGCTGCCTTGCATGTAGGCTACTGAACTCTGTAATCCCAGCTGTTGCCTCTAAACCATTCAGACACTGTTTGTGACTGCCCTTGTATTTTTGCAAAATAAAGGTTAAGAATGTTGGCAGCCCTCAACATTCAGATCAAGTATCACTGCACGCACGATGCAGTGCCCAGGGGACAAAGGGAAATAGAAGATGACATTAGGGCTCCTAAAACTTGTTTGCCACCAGTTAACTACACTGTGAATCTCATGTGGGGGAACCACCTCAAGGCAGATCTGTTTGCCTTGAATGAAAGGAATAGGCAGAATCGTAAAGCCTTGCATCTACACTTATTCTGAGAGTTTAATACAGTGAAGAGCAGGGTTTTCATCCACATGAGACTATTTTGAATCTAGGCTTAAGGCATTTACCAGGACTTAGCTGTGGGAAAAGAGCTAATATTTCCTCCTCCCTAATTCTTGTGAAAATGAGTCATAATTTAATTCTCGGCCATTTCATGCCCCAGATGAACGGTGCAGTGATTTTTCTACTCAGATATCTGAAATGATAAAAAAAAGTGCAAAGACGAAAATGTCACATTCCAACATTCAAATTACAGAGGTTCTCCTTCCCTTGATTGTGTTCTGAAATGTCTGTATTTTGCATGTGTGAGATAAATAAAAGAAAATACAAGCACTTCTCATTTCAAGATGTGCACGATTTCATGGCAAGTGTTTCATGTTTATTTTTGACTTGCCTTTGAGTCTTGCTCAGTCACGATCTTTATTTACTACATCTGAAAACTATTTATCTGGGGAATCAAAATCCAGTTGGGACTGAAGACTGAATGTAAACGTGCTAACCTGGGTTTGTAAAATGCTTTGCAAATGTGATTAAAACCAGTCTAGCCTTCACGGTAAACGATACCAATTATGCATCCGACAGGCATATTTAACTGAGTGCTCCCTGTGATTGCGTTATTTTTTTCAGTACCCTCCTTTGTCCTATTTCCTTGTAGCACAATGGCAGCACAGTCATACATTTTACAGTGTCCCACATGCAGTATGTGGGACACAGCCTGATGTGTACAGCATCAGCTTCATGATTCCGTAATGTCCTTAATAAATCTGCCCTACTTTCTTTGTTGCTGTGCTTTTCTAATATTAGAAGTGCTGAATCCTAAAACATAGCCTCATTAATATGCAGAAAAAATATTCTCATATTACAAAGTCATCTTTATTCATCCACCTTTGGTCATTTGTCCTATAGTAAAAGGAGAGGCATCCTTAAATAGCCATTAAGCTAAATAGCTTAATGTTGCAGCTGCAACATTATCCTGCACAGTATAGGTAAGATGTGTGGCAGCTGGAAGCCCAGTACTGCAGCCCTCACTATGATGAGAAATCAGGAAGTCCTTTCACGGGGGCTTATTTGATAAACCCTAGTTGCTGCACCAGTTCCTAAAGTAGTAGCTATAGGTGTATTCCTAAAGATTGATATCTAAAGCTTGACAATATATAGTTACCTGAGCTATTAAAATAGTTGTGAAGAAACATTCTCCTCTTAAAATAAAGTTTATTTTAAAAGGGAATTTTCATTTCAGCAAGAAGATTTGGGCCTTGCTTAAATATTAATAGGAATTTCTGTTGTGGAAACTATCTGTTTATACTGAGTTGGGAGCCAGTCTCTAGCTGCTATGCTTTCGAAGAACATCTAATAAAAGCAACCTCATTAAAATCGGTGCCTTATTGCCCACCTCAGTTTGCAGATTTCATGAAAGAGTAGCTCTACCCTTTTCGCTTCCTGGGAAATAATTCAGGTTTTGATACAAGAAACTGTTCACTCTTACAGTGTTCCTTAAGGCACATAAAGGGAGGAGGGAACATACTATGAACCGTACATGACCTGTTCTGACTGACAGCACACACCAGGCAAGGCAGAAGAGGAAAGGGAAACAATTAAGTCTGATTTCAAGAAGGAAGTCTTCAGTTTTGAAAAATCTGAGAAGTGTCTTTGACTATTGGAAGGGAAAGAATTAAAAAATCAGCTGCTCGTTTATGTGCACACATTTCCCTTAACCTTAATTTGTTTAACTTGGAATTGTACGGGAACAAGCCACAGAGGTGGGATATCACTTATGTACAATGTTGAATGGTAACTGTGGTAGGCACGTAGCAAGGGTTGAGAAGTGTTCTAGGGTAGAGAAGCACCGATGTAGGATAACATCTACTTTAAAATAAAACTCCAAGCCATTAAAGAAACCAGTGCTGCAAGTTGCCGATCCTCTGAAGCACTTCACGGCGGTTTCTCCTGCCGGCACGTGGATGGCGAGCTCAGGGACCCTGAGATCTGCCGCCCTGCTCACGCCAGCGGAGGGTACTGCCATCCTGATGAAGACAACATTCACCTCCTTTGCTACTAATATCAAACAGGGCAGATCCCTGCCTGCATTGAAGAAAGAACCTCCAGTTCCAAAAATATTGGTTTTACTATTTCAGATAAAGGCGAATCTTCAGAAAACCAGTAGCCTCGTAGCTGAACTGGATCAAATGTGCGCTTTACACAAATCAAAGTAACTGTGACTGAATTTGGTAAACAAACATATGATTGGCCATTACTGATTTAATGAAGCAATGTCATAGATGAGGTAATGTAGGCCAGGCTCTGGCATCAGTACAGCTGGTAAATCTAAAGCCTGAGATTTAACAGTGTTACAGACTTAAATAGCGTCATTTTAAGGGAGCAACAGGTGTGCAGAGGCAAAGGTCTGAAAGCCAACTGCACAAACCGTGTTTCTGCTGTGGTACTCCTGCAGAGCTGACTGAACTAGCATTTGTTTTATTAGCAGGTTTTTTTTTTCTCCTCAGTTGCCTAGGAGGAGAAAGAAAAGGGTGTAATTTCAGTGTGTCCGGGAACTAACAAATCTGGATTATGATAGATCACAGGACAACGGTAAGCTCCTGTACTGAGCATCAAAAAAAAGGGTTATGCGTGAAAACAAGCAGCAGGACACAAACTTGCATTAGACCAGAGTGCTCTTCAGAAGGAAGTAGCTGGGTTCGTCTACTCCCAGGAAACGGATACTCCTGGGATTCAGTATTTTCTCAGCTCACAGAGTACATGGGCTTGTTGCAACAAGTACAAAGAAATTCAGCCCTACCCTGGTTGAATCACCGTGCCTTTGTTAAACAGCAGCAAGTTTTCCATTATGAAATGTAACTTATGTGCAACATTCTGCAAGGCTGCCCAAATCAGCAGTATTTAGCGTGTCTGACATTTTAAAATTATTCCTATAATAGACACATTTGCCTTGAAAATGTATTCTCTAATTGTCCCCTCCAAGGTTTCTTGCATGTTCTATTGAACCACACAGTCCTGGCCATGACCAGGGAGATGATTGTCTGATCCCAATACAGAGCATTCTCGCATCACATTCCTACGAAAATGTGGATTCCTACCTAACTGAACTCTTCCAAAACACATTTTGTATGGGAAGCCTTAGAACTCTTGGATCACATGTGCTCTCTTTCACACACCTCAGCATGACTAATGAAGTGATGACTCTGTACTATTTTCATCCCAAAGTACCATCTCAGCTACCCTGCAAGCAATGTAGAATGCTCTGTTGCTGAAATAATAATCACTTCTGCAGAATATTACAGCTATTAGCAACAGCACTTAACAAGTGTGATATGACACAGACTGCTGCCTAGGCTCAAAATCATTTTTCAGAACTAAGAATTTCTACATGACTCATTTACCACTTTTTTTCTTTCTTTCCTGTAAGGTACCAAAATGAGACTCTCCTTCTCCACGGGCCTACTTCTGTATTCACAGCAACTGTGGATTTACTGACAGAGCTTATCAAGCTTCAGATATTTCTGCCCCACCCACTGCACTTGTCCAGGGTATCTGGACATCCGGGAGGAGCCCAGGCTCCATCCAGCGTGGATGTGCTAGGGGCAGGAACAGAAAACCAAAAATATTCTGAACAGGACTTGTGCTTCCCGTGCAGATCAAATAAATGGCGTATGGGCTCTAGGTTTGGTATGTCTCGATTGCTGAATGCATGCTAGGGGTTTGAGCTGCAGGTGTGTAGTATGCAACACATCTGATGTTCCAGTGCCTGCATGTGTGCTGTCTGTTGCGTACCCCTATTTCTATCAGGAGGGAAGGACTGAGGGGAGCCGTAAGCAGGTATTATACCCTCACAGTGCACGGTTGCATCCATGCAACCCCGTTCCCTCCTATCATTAAGGGATCCTGTGCCCTCCTTTGCTAATAGATAGACAGCTGCTTTTGCACCTTGTTGAACTGCAACCGATAGGAGCTTAGGAAGGTTGGCTGGGCCAAAATGGTGTCCGAGTGCCCCATTTTGGATGCCTAGTTGCCCTCAAGCACCTGAAAAATGAAGATACTGCAGACAACGCTGCACTGGATTTCGCTGAACCTCACTTTCTCCACACGTGAAGGGGGATACTTGCACTTGTCCTCTTTCGTAAGATGTCCATATTGTCTCCGAACGAAACATTGTACTTATTTTACTCCTTCTCTGTGCCTTAATGAACAGTGAGCAATTACCAGTGCCTTCAGGAGTATCTTGTTAGTGGTGTCATTTCTTGAAGCCTCACCTGTTTCCTTATAGCCCATCCACACTTGGGATACATATCTTCGAAGGAATGGCTTTGGAAACTGGGAACGAGTCTACTCTGAAAACATATTGAACAGACTCGGAGGGTCTTGCTA